TTGCCTATACAGTGGTACCTCTGGTTATGAACTTAATTCATTCTGGAGGTCTGTTCTTAAGCTGAAAACCGTTCTTATACTGAAGCGTGCTTTTGCTAATGGGGCCTCCCGCTGCGCGCAATTTCCGTTCGCATCCTGGGACAAAGTTCACAACCAGGAGCAGCTACTTCCGGGTTAGTGGAACTCATAACCTGAAGCGTTCATAACTAGAAGCGTAACTAGAAGTTCATAACCAGAGAGCCAGTGTGGTGTAGTGCTTAAGAGCAGTAGACTTGTAATCTGGTGAACCGGGTTCGCTTCCCTGCTCCTCCACATGCAGCTGCTGGGTGACCTTGGGCTAGTCACACTTCTCTGAAGTCTCTCAGCTCCACAGAGTGTTTGTTGTGGGGGAGGAAGGGAAAGGAGAATCTTAGCCGCTTTGAGACTCCTTCGGGTAGTGATAAAGCGGGATATCAAATCCAAACTCTTCTTCTTTGTAACCAGAGGTACCACTGTATAGTGCATAAGTTTGTGTGTGTGTGTGTGGGAGAGAGAGAGAGAGAGAGAGAGAGAGAGAGAGAGAGAGAGAGTGGAAAGTTGTCACATACCCATTGAACTCTGTCCTGCAATGCAATACTGAATAAAGTCTAACCGATTGGAACTTGGTGTGAGGCTCTGTACTTGAACGTGCTAGAGAAAATTCTCCCAAATTCTCTCATTTGCAGATGTCTTCAATGCAGAGAAGCTGCTTGTGAGTGAGCAACCCTTGGAGTAGAATTTAGTAGCATACCACCCATAGTTGGTTTCAGTGCAGTGGTCATTTTTTTAAAGCACAATATTGCAAGGAAACAGGGTGTCTAGAGCACTGGCTGTCATCTTAACTACTGGAAAGCATCATAGAAAGATGCAGCAACCACAGCAAAGGGAGAAGAAGAAGTTTGAGATCAGAAAATCTAGCATCCCATCTCTCTAGAAGCTGTGTTATGCATGCCTTGGGAAGGACAATTTCCAAAATCAGGCTACAATTGACTTATGTTGTTTCTACAGCGTCTTCTGTTTTCAGACCTCACGGTCAATTATACCGGATTTATGGGGTCGAATGGCCTTATTAATCATCAAATTTTATCCGAGCATGGCTACACGAAAAATGTAATTCAATGTAAAAAATGAAATCAGATCAAGGGCTAAATTGAATTTAAAAATTCACCCCAGACTAGATACTGAATTAATTTTAGATTTAATCTGAGTACACAATAAATTGATTAAAAATTTAAACCTATTTGAACACTAAACTGATTTAAGCGATTAAAAAGTAGAATAATACTGAAACAATTTAAACTTACGCAACCCAAACTAAAGGGCAATTGCAGGGAGGAGGGAGAGGAGCAGGCCTGGAAAAACCAGCTGTTTACGGTTTCAGTATGAAGTTTTCTTGTCGTTAGAATTATAAGATGTACAATACCATTCAATGGAGAAGAGCAGGACTTTTCACAGTGGATAGATGTTTTCATTTCTAACCTTTGGCCTGCCTGCCATACTGCCTAAAGTCATATAGATAGATACAGCCCAATCCTTTGAATTTGGCTATGTTGTCAGAATAAGGAACTAAGAACAGCCCTGCTGGATCAAGCAAAGGTCCAGTGTCCTGCTTTCCAGCAGGCCAGCCAGAGGCCTATGGGAAGCCTGTAAGCATGGGCTGAATGCAACAGTATTTTCCCCACTTGTGAGGTCCAGTTACTGGTATTCAGAGGGATACTGTCTCCAAAAGTGGAGGCATTTTGACACACTGAGCAAAGTGAATAAAACCAGGGAATAGAATCATGGAATCCTAGAATTGTAGAGAAGGGTTAGAAGTAGAAAATAGTGTATTTTAAAATAGTATTATTTGTAAGTGATAAAATGTGAAGCTTTTATGGTTAAAGTAAGTGTGATTAAAAAATGGTTAGAAATTATGATATATGTAAACTACTAAAGATGATGTAAAATGAAAATCAGATAGGTGGGACTTGGGGAAGCCCCCCCCCCCCAAAAAATGTTTAGGAATATAAGGATAAGACAAGGATTTGTTTGTACAGTGGTACCTTGGGTTAAGTACTTAATTGGTTCCGGAGGTCTGTACTTAACCTGAAACTGTTCTTAACCTGAAGCACCACTTTAGCTAATGGGGCCTCCCGCTGCCGCTGCACCGCCAGAGCCCGATTTCTGTTCTTATCCTGAAGCACTATTTCTGGGTTAGCGGAGTGTGTAACCTGAAACGTATGTAACCTGAAGCGTATGTAACCCGAGGTACCACTGTACTGTTTGTTTTTGCTGTTTGTGTTCTTTATTTGTGTTATAAAATGAATAAAAAAAAATGGGGGGGGGAATAGAATTGTAGAGTTGGAAGGGACCCTGGGAGCAGTAGCGAAGTTGCATGCTCTGTTATCGGGGGTGGACAGCAGGCAGGGGCATGGCTGGTGCCCCCCGGGGGGGGCGTTACACATGCCCTGGGGGACGTGGCGCGCATCCCGGGGGTGTGGTAGGCCGCCCCTAAGGGCACGCAGCGCTGCCCGCAGGGGCGTGGTGCGTGTTCTGGAGGTGTGACGCACTGCTTGTGGGGGCGTATCGCCGGTGCACGGGAGTGCACGGCGCGTCTCAGGAGGGCGCTGCGATGGCACCCTACCTGAATAGTGGTGCCGGGGGTGGTTCCCTCCCTTTGCACTCCCGTTCCTCCGACAGTGCCTGGGGGTCATCTAGTGCAGCCCCCTAAAATGCAGGAATCTCAACTAGATCATACATGACAGATGGCCATCTAAAGGTAAAGGGACCCCTGACCATTAGGTCCAGTCGTGGCCGACTCTGGGGTTGCGGCGCTCATCTCGCTTTATTGGCCGAGGGAGCCGGCGTACAGCTTCCAGGTCACGTGGCCAGCATGACTAAGCCGCACAGTGCACGGAAGTGCCGTTTACCTTCCCACCAGAGTGGTACCTAAGAGGGTTCTGGAAGCTTCTGGAAGCTTCTCTGTATGAAAGAAACAAGCAGAAGATTCCTGATGTTTGGGTTATTCCTTCAGAGAAGCTGAGTACAGCTGGCTTAAGCTGGTTCTCTTATCTCTTCTGCCAAGGTCATACTGACTATAATAGTGTGGCCCAATGGAGGCTGGGTTTCACTCTTTCTTTCTCTCTCTCTCTCTGTCTCTCTCTCTCTCTGTCTGTCTGGTGTGGTGTTCTGTATATAGTGTTAAGGTTTAGTCTTTTTATAAGCTATTGTCAGTTTAAGTTAAGTCTGCTGCAACTTGATTTCTCATGGACAGTGCCAATACTGAATGTACTGGATTTAAAAATAAAAAAATAAAAATTGTCTAGTAGCACCTTGTAGACCAACTAAGTTTGTTCTGGTATAAGCATGCACACAAAAGCTTATACCAGAACAAACTTAGTTGGTCTACGAGGTGCTACTAGACAATTTTTTATTTTATTTTTAATTTTTATTTCGACTGTGCCAGACCAACACTGATACCTCCCTGTACTGGATTTGTGACCGTTATGTGACCGTAATTTGCCTTCAGTAGCAGTAAAGCTCTGCTGGATGAAATACAATTGCCTCTGATCTATTTTGGGGGGAATCCTGCAACGTGTTTAAGTTTTTACTCTGCTAAACATATGTCTGAATATACTCTGGATCAATACTGAGTAGAATTTCAATGACACGAAGATGAAAAGGAAATCCCATTGCATGAACATAACTCCATGTAGGCAGGAATGGATCCATCTCAATGCAATAAATAATAATAAATAAATGATAATAAATAATAAATAAATGGATAAGTAGCTACATGACTTAGTCCTGTTTAATGCATAGGGAGTGCTTTAAAAATTGCTTGGCCCAAATGGTTACAAAGTCGTCTCCACAAAATATGAGGGAAAAGATTTCATTGGTGGGAGAGAGTCATTTTGTCTGAAATCTCTCTTTATTTTCATATACAATTGTAGATATTAATAATGCCACAAACTCACACATCCCACACACAAATGAGGCAGGATAAACAGTTACACTTGGAGCTTGTATATCTGAAAGAAATATAAAAAAAATATTGAGGTCAGACAGAAGAATTAATCCTCTCTCCCAGGATTACACAAATTAGTTAGGAAGAGGAAAATTTAATCTAATAAACTAAATATGGCTTGCTCATAAATATCGCTATCTTCCGGGAGCCCGGAACAAATGGAGGGAAGAAAGGAAAGAGCACCAAACAGCATTTAAATAAACAATTAATGAACTTTCTACAGTTTATGAAATATATTAATTCTAATTTGAGACTGCATTAGCAGTTGGGTTTAGGATATATATATTTAAAAAATTACAATTAATTCCTCTTACTAAAACCACCATCAGCTCTTTGCTTAGCATTCCTTAAAGTCTTAACAAAGATAAGCAGTGTGTATTTAACTGCTAGGTGTTTTTTCTTTTTTAATGAATGAATAAATGAATTTATAAAACTGCCCAAAATACACAAAGCAAAGGAGGAAACCCTCATCATCATCCTCTCCAAAACCATCTTCAACATCTCCAAAAATATAAAGCTTCCCTGAAAGGGGAAGGAGGACATTTTGCACCATCTATGAGAGACTAAAAGACTGCAAAATAAACCATATGACAAATGGCACATAGCTGCATATATTAAAGCTGAGGTCAGGCCCATGGTAGGGCTGTGAAAGACATCTTCTGAAATCTGGAGAGCCACTGCCCTCCAGTGCAGACAATGCAAACCTGGTTTGTATGTTGCACTAAACTGTTTTTAAAAACAAATTGTGGTTCAATCTTGCCATACAGGGTGCTAATGCCTGCTGCTGAAAGGTTCTCGCTCTGCTCCTCGTCCAATGCTACTGCTGCTGTGCTGCCACGAAACAAGCCGGAATTCGTCTTGCAATGGGATCTGAACCTGGGCTCCTTGTTGGTTTTCTCCAGCAAACCACAATCAAAAAGCAAAGAACAAACCTTGGTTACCACTCATGGTTTCTTTGGAGAGAAGCAAACCACAAGCCTGGATAGCTCAGCTAGTTAGAGCATGGGGCTGATCATGCCAAGGTTACAGGTTTGATCCCTGTATGGGATATATTCCTTCATTGCCAGGGCTTGGACTAGATCAGGCATCCCCAACATGCAGCCCTCCAAATGTTTTTGGCCTACAACTCCCATGATCCCTAGCTAACAGGACCAGTCGAATTGTAGTACAAAACATCTGGAGGGCCGAAGGTTGGGGATGCCTGGACTAGATAATCCTCAGCATAGGAACCAACTCCTAGGGACTGAGGTCCCTTCACACACACCCTAATAAAATATTGGAGGGGGCTGCCCCCCCCCCAAGTTGATAGGCATTTCTATTCAAATGATTGTGTGCTTTGTGATTGAGTATGTGGGGCAGTGATTACCTACCCTCAATTGTTGACTCAAGTTTGTAGCCCCTGATCTCCAGGGTTTCTTCCAACTCTGTGATTCTATTTTTTCAATAATAATAATAATAATAATAATAATTTATTTATACCCCGCCCATCTGGCTGGGTTTCCCCAGCCACTCTGGGCGGGTTCCAACAAAGTATTAAAATACAGTGGCCTGTTAAACATTAAAAGCTTCCCTAAACAGGGCTGCCTTCAGATGTCTTCTAAAAGTCTGGTAGTTGTTCTTCTCTTTGACATCTGGTGGGAGGGCGTTCCACAGGGTGGGTGCCACTACCGAGAAGGCCCTCTGCCTGGTTCCCTGTAACTTCCTTATAATGGGTGCTACTGTTTCTTCTTTCATACTCTCTCTCTCTCTCATATCCCACTCTCCCTATCTCTCTTTAATACACACAACCACTACCACTACCCAATCAGCCAGCCACACATATAAACCAAATATAGACACAAAAGCATGACCCACTATTATCTGCCACTTACAAACATGTCCCATCCATCCTTCCATCCACAGATAAATCCTTTTTGGCCCCCACCCCCTTCTGCAATCATTCATTAATTTGCACCCACTTCCATTCACTTTCCTCATGCATGTTTATGCATAGGGTAGGGATGGGAAACCTGCATTCTTCCAGATGATGCAAGACAACAAATTCCATCATAGAGTACCTGGCCGTTAGCCATGTTGGTTGGGGCTGGTGGGAGTTGGAGTCTGGTGCGCTCTCTCTCTCTCTCTCTCTCTCTGTGTGTGTGTGTGTCACATGTTCCTTCCCTAAGGCATGCTCAAAATGTCCCATTCAAAATGTGACATCCACATAACCTGGAGTCATGTCTTCTGTGATGGACACAATCCCGCAACACTTTTGTAAATCACCTTTAGCCATGCAAAGCAGTTTCCAACCAATCCCAAGTGATGAGAGATCAGTTGCTGCAGATGTCTCTATGAATCAGGTCTACACTTTGAACGACTTTTCCTTCTGTGATTGCCCCTCCAATCCAGAAAGTGGAAACAGGTTTTTCAGTGTCTGGCTTTCCTTTTTTTTTTTTTTTTTAAATGATATTTATTAAAGTTTCAAAAAAAAATACAAAAAATACAGAATACAGAAAGAAAAAGAATAAAGTGGTTTTTTTAATATAACCAAAGGGGAAAAAAATAAAAAAATACCAAATAAAACAATTAAAAGGACATTAAGTTTCCATAACCTATCTTCCTTATACTTATTTCCCCGGACCTCCTCATACCTCCCTTTTTTGTATTCCAGTTCAATTTGTTAGTTCAGCAAATCCTTACCATTAAAACTACCCAGTTGTAAACCTTTTTTTCATATCTCTTAAAGCATTACAGCAAAAAAACCCTTAGTTTCTATCCAACATCCTTCTAAGATTCCTTAATTTTACAATATTTCTGTAAATAGTCTTTAAATTTCTTCCAGTCTTCTTTCACCGTCTCTTCTCTCTGGTCTCGGATTCTGCCAGTCATTTCTGCCAGTTCCATGTAGTCAATCACCTTCATCTGCCATTCTTCCAGAGTGGGTAGATCTTGTGTCTTCCAATACTTTGCGATGAGTATTCTTGCTGCTGTTGTTGCATCAGTGTCTGGCTTTCCTACTCTGCCTTCTGAATGTAGAAAGCACTCTCTTCTATCTGTGGCATCCGTTATGGATCCTTCTTCCTAGGCTAATATCAATACAGGTTTTCCCCCTGTTGGTGCTCACACCTGAGTCACGGGGACCATTTTTTCCAGATGCTGCTCCTACCCATAATCCCTCCCACAATCATAATGGGTTGCCTGTGTTCCTTATCACATCACTGGGCAGCACAATCTCCTTTGCATCTGCAGCAGAACACAGCAAATGTGTGTGCTTTAAGCAAATAGGCAGCAGTGGCCTTTGTATTTTTTTTCCTAGAAGAAAAAAAGAAGTATTTGCTCTTAATGAACTAGCTTGTTGAAGCATGGAAAAGTCATTTCCACATTAATCTGCACCCAAAAAGCTGCTCAGATAAGGGCTGGACTGAGCCAGTAAGTCCTTCTTGACTCATCTTGGTGCTACAGGAAGTCTAATTGTGCCAGCAACAGTTATCTATCTGACAGAGGGGATGTCTTAATTTCTCAAACTTCCTTTTATAGTTTGGCCATCACGCATCTCTCTGCTCATCTGCCTGCCATACTTTGAGTGCTGCTTGGTGATGTAGTACTAATAGTCTGAAACTCAGATTTTTCTCGCCACCACCACCCAATTCTAATTCGTGCTGAATTGCAGGATGTATAGTTATTTGTGGGCTTCCCGCAAGTACTTAGTTCCCCCCTCTAAGAAGAGGACATTAGAATGGATACATTAGATAAATATTTGCTCAGATCCAGGAGGGACATTCTTATTATTATGGATGCGGGTGGTGCTGTGGGTTAAACCACAGAGCCTAGGACTTGCCAATCAGAAGGTCGGTGGTTCGAATCCCCGTGACAGGGTGAGCTCCCATTGCTCAGTCCCTGCTCCTGCCAACCTAGCAGTACTTATACCCGGTGGATAGGTAAAGGTAAAGGGACCCCTGACCTTTAGGTCCAGTCATGGCCAACTCTGGGGTTGCGGTGCTCATCTCGCTTTATTGGCCAAGGGAGCCAGCGTATAGCTTCCGGGTAATGTGGCCAGCTCTGGCGAAGCAGAGCAGCGCACGGAAATGCCATTTACCTTCCTGCCAGAGTGGTACCTATTTATCTACTAGACTTTGACGTGCTTTTGAACTGCTAGGTTGGCAGGAGCAGGGACCGAGCAATGGGAGCTCACCTCGTCACAGGGATTCGAACTGCTGACCTTCTGATCGGCAAGTCCTAGGCTCTGTGTTTTAACCCACAGCACCACCCGTGTCCCTCTTGCTAAATATATATTGTGACAAAAGTTTGGTGCCTCCCCATCCCTCTGTGGAGTGGTGGCAAGAGCCCAGGGGGTTCCAGGCACTCTCCCAGGGTCTGTGTTCCTTTTCCCAGACCAGCACTCTGGACGGCTTAAACAAATGAAACAACACTGATAAATTAGAAAAAGCTGAATGCTTATAAAAGAATAATTAAACTCTAATAGAATTAACAATATGAAAACATATCTATTAAAATATGGATAATCGAAACAGCCCAGCACTGTTTGCATTTGATAGATTATAGATTGCATTTTTTCACTCATACTCTGTTGATGCCTGAGTATATTTGCCTTGTTTTTACACTGGCTGGAGGCTCTTTGTTTTGTAGATGTGTCTCTATAGCTGTGTTGGAAGCATCTATTTATTTTTGACAATTGCTAGCGCTAGGAGGAATATCTGTTTTGTCCTGTGGACTGTATGTCAGCCATGAGTCTGTTCCAGATCTAGCTGTGTGCAGTTCGTCACGAGCAGACGCTACCGGCCCCCGAAGGGGATGCACATCCCCAACAATATTAGAAGATTTATCCAATTGCTCCATTGGGGCCTGGAATGAGCATTGTGTTGTGGATGCCAGTGCATATCCAAATGTCGAGAGTTAGACATTGTGTGCTTGGAGAAACCTGTTTCCACATTCAGAACACCAGCACCAGATTCAAGTAGCTTTTGCAGCTGTCATGACCTGAATTCCACCAGACGTGCATTGTGTGTGTGTGTGTGAAAATATATAATGCCTGATGATAGTTATTCTGTTATAATATTTTTCTTGGCATTATTATGCATCATTACCTGTTTCATCATCTTTGATTATCGTTGAGGGTGGGAGCAGTTCCTGACTGCACATGAAAGCACATTCAGCCCGCTCTGTTTCAAATCAGTAGGAGATTATATGCTTCCGAGATGGCTTTTCAGGGCTAAAAGACCTGTAGGGGATTAAATAGCCATTTAGATTTTTACATTATTATAATTACATTCCTTTTTGTACAGCAACATACTTTAAAATCATTTACACTGGCCCTACCTAACCGAAACCTTTATTATGGTGCATCAGCCAAATTATGTCTGTTAAGTTAAGCAAGGACTGAAGGAAACGCTTTTGCTTTGCAAAAGGGCAAAACACAGAAGTGGAGGTTGGTGCCCATTGGGAGTAATAGGGCAGAATGCAGGGAGAGCAACAGTAGGTGGAGCCAGAGGCAACAGTGGGTGGAGCTGGAACCAATGATAGGCAGAGCTCACTAATTCTGGCTTTGTCCCTGTTGTGTATTCAGCGGTCTGTGTTTGCCTGAGCTTGAGTCTGGACTAAGGCTTCTGAGCTCCTGTGTTCTGATTCGATACATGTTGTCCAATCCCAGAACATTTCAGGATTTTGGCCTCTGCCATTGGCCCTTGTACTCTGAGTCGTGATTCGTAGTTTGGAAGTGTAGACAGCCAATCACGGTGGGAGTGGGAGTGGCCTAGGCCTCCATAAATTTATATAAGTAGTTGCTTTGCCCCTGTTGTCCAGTTCTGTAGTTCAATAAAGGTTCTTGCTGTTATCGCTGTGTCCCTCCTCGTGGGAACCCACCTACACTTCAGTCCCCATGCTCCTTCCTGCTTGGTTCTACATGGGGAACACTGAACTTGAGGAGGAGGAGGAGAAGGAGGAGACAGACATCCAGTGTGACCCAGTGGACTGCTTGTAAGTAAGGAGGCAGACAGGTTGACAACTGGCTGATCTAGGTGAAGCAGTACCCCATTTGCCCTAAAGCACCAGTC